GCAAAGTACTAACAAAAGTAGGACTGAGAAAAAGATGAGAGATGTAGAATTAGAGGAGAAGGGTCCTCAAGGCCTTAGCTTTTATGTGCAGACCTTTAGTCTGATCCATCATGACCGTTTTGATGGTTTTTGTATACTTTTAAGCTGGGTAAGGGTATTCCTCATCGTCTCGTTAACGCCCATGTGGGAAGGCCTCCTGCAGAAGCAGTCAGAACATTAGATGAGTCTTGCAACTTTTCTCAGATTCAAATCAAACAGCATGCTTCATAATATAATGGCAATATTGGATGTCCACATCGCCCACATTTCATTTTAATGTCCACATTTCATTTTTAATGAAATTATTAATTACACGTTTAGTGCTGCTCATCTCTTAAGTCAAGCAGAGACTACACACACACACGCACACACACACACACCCCGAGTAATCAAGGACAGTAATCGGGCAGTAGGCTTATTGGCAATGGACTTTGCAAACCATTACTAGGATTAAGCAACAAACTTGAGTTATCTCCAAAGATCAAGAAATTGTTCCTTCCTTTGCAGAAAAGACCTCTTATAATATTTGTTTCTTCTCCTGTTCACTTACTTGCAATGGTTCGAGGCCGGCAATCAAAGGGTTTCATAAAGGATATGCCAACCATTGCCACAATGAACTCCATGACCAGGTTTCTCAGGTACTGTTGGCAGAGAGAGATTTTCTACAAGAAAAGTAGCAATAAGAAACAGTTAATTGAAACATAACAAATGCTGAATGGTATGCACAGATGGCCGTTAGAAAATCATGTTAAATCCAAATTCAGTGAAAAGATATTTTCTACATTTTGAGCCTTTAAGGTCAAGATAAGGTGCTTTCTGAAAGATGTACTTGTGTCCTAGAGTTATGGCTTTCCTGCTGTTCTGCCACTCAGTCTAATGACAATTTTCCATGTTGGACTTTGATATGCCTAGGAAACCTCCATGGAACAAGTTTTGAGGTGCTATCGTCGTTGAGTGAAGTGGCAAGTCTCATTAGCTTAGTCATGCTGCTACAAGAACATCTGTCCGGTCTTTGCATTTGTTTACGTATGTCTGAACGTGGCAGTGCTTATAGGAACTTGCAACAGTAAACGTAGGATCTTTGTGCCACACCGCATAGACATGCGTTCCTTGAGTTAGTGGTCTTTGCTGGCCTTTAGGATGAATGAGTATATGTGTGCAAGATTAACTCGGGCAGAGAATGAAGCAAGATTTTCCTGCAATGGTAAATTCAGTAAAATGGTTTTGAAAATTCAAACAGATCATAAACAACATTTCTGGTGAGCGGTGTTATAACTAAAGCAATTTCAGGTCTGGGCAATGCATAGGAAGTTCAACCAGTAGTTCCAGGTTGTGGGGCAGGTTGAAGCCAGGTGACTGCTGCTATGTATATAAATGCCTTAGAAAATGCAAGTAAATGGAAAACTAAAGCATGTATTAATCAAAAGGCTTTATATATAGGGAATACTGTTGAAAATACCAAGCCTTTATCAGTCATACCAGCTCAACACATATGTGCCATTTGTCAGCTGTGGCCTAAGCACATGGAGATTCTGGAAAATCTTCTAGGTGAAAAATACAAAACTAGTGCAGCTAAAAGAAAAATTATAGAAAATAATGCTTCAATGTATCCTTGTGTGCTGTATACCTAGAAGAAGGAGCAAAAGATGAAACTAAGCTGTGTTGGAACTAAATACCAAGAAATTGGATATAAAACAGGACACCAGATCTAATCCAAAGCTGAAGGAGACAACTTGATTGATGTTTGATTTCTATTCGGGAGGAGAAAAAAATGTAATCAATACAATCCCTGTAGGACTACAGGACAAGCTGAACAGGTTAGAATGATAGAAGTTAAAAACTGTCCGGAGTAACCAACTCTAATAACTTCATTTTTCTTTGTCTGCCTTGTCAATAGAAGATCAGCAAGAAAGTATGCTTTAGAATATTAATTATTACAAAAGAACAAGATACATTTTTTCTTAAGGTCTGTAGTGCTGTTCTATCTTGTTTTAATTTGATGATAATAAGCACAGAACTGGGTGCTGTAGTTAATACAAAATAATGTAATTCCAGTGATTTGAATGGAATAAGTAGTGAAATACATAATCTATTGAACCAGTCTCTTGCTTTTGTGTGTGTTAATTCTTATCATCAGTGAAATAACAAAAGAGGTGGACACTCAACAGCTATATGATGGAGTTTGCTGTAGCTGTAGAGTTGTTATCATTATTCTAGTTGTATGACATCAGTAAAGAAATGCTGCTAAATACCAGGCTACTGGCCTGGAGGAATTCTCACCTGAACATGCAGCAAATCCAGTCCTGTGCTAAGCCAATGGTGCATGTAGCTGAACTGGTAGCAGCAGCAAAGTGAATAGGAGTTGCCTTTTGTCCTTAATTGCGAGAGATGGTAATTCTTTTTTTTTTTTTTAAGATATTTATATTGTATTTAGATATATTGTATTTAAAATGTAAATAAGAATATTTGGAGGATATGATTTTTAACTGGGAATGATACTTCAAAGAGGATTTTAAGTTTTCTAAATGGTTACTTACCTTTCTCACTCCAAATAGTAGAACACTGTATGCTAAACAAAGTCTGACTTAACAGGTTAAATTAATTTAGAAAAAAAAAACAGAAGTGATAAGAAAATACTCCTAACATTTTGGGACTGGAATGAAATGTCTGCGTTTAAAGTTTAAATAGCTAATATTCCAGATTCTGTGAAAGCAGATGGATGGAGTGTTCAGAATCTACGCTAGTATGTTCAGAAAAGCTTTTGCTTCTCTTTTTTGAAAAGAGAAAGCAAATAAGTTGAATATTGATTTCAGATATTTTTTCCACGGTTTTTAAAGGATTTAACTGGTACCATTTATGTTTCTAAAAATACAATAAAACACAAGCTTACCACTTTATAAGCACAGTTCTTATTACTGATCATCACTATTCCTTTAGTATTCCTTTATAAGAACTTGAAAGAGAATTATATCCCTACCTAAGTACACTGAGGTAGAGCCATTTATTTTTTTCTTTGCTGTTATTCTTTATCTTTGTGTGCTATCAAATGACATTCCTTTTTGATGTCTTAATTTAACTGGAATATTACTGAATTGTAGCAAAGCTAGACTTATGAAAGACTTATTTTCTCCATGAAATTAGCTGGAAGTTGACAGAATTTGTTCTTTCTAAAGAAAAATACCATGTACAAATACTTAACTAAAAACAAACAAGTACAAAATTTCCACTTCCTGTTTTATACTGACTTTTTTGTGATATTTTTTAGTATATGCAACATCAAACTCTATCGCTTCAGGGAAACTGCTCAAAAAAATCTCTGAAATTTGTTACTGTTCGAGGTCAAGACAAATATTTTTCTAAATGATTTAACAGCTTTGAGATGTCAGCTATTGAAAAAAATGCTGCTTATCTATATTAAAGAACTTTAAGTTTTAAAATGTTTTGCACTGCTACAGTATAGATTTTCTTCATGCAAGTTGAAATAAAAGTCAGGCTACATAGCATGATGTACATGTTGGAGGTAGGTAATGTATGCTCTTTTCTTTAGCTTATTTGAAATGTTCATATAACCAGAAACATTCTGGTTAGGTACAGAACTACAATGAATCTACTGAAGGTGAGATGGTTAAAATGACAAATGTAATTTTATTAAATAAAATAAAATAAATTCAAAAGCAGGAGGAATGAGTAAAGAAGAGGAGAAATAAACACAACTTCTCCAAATAATTCATGTCCGTATTTGCATGATGGGTCTTGGGGGCAGATAGAAATTCATTCTACCTGCAATTTGGAACAGACTGTATATGGATAATTTTTCTTAACCAGAAGTTACGTTAGCAGTGTTAAACTTGCATAATATAAATCTGAGGATTAATGTAAATTGATAGTACTTTATAAAATGTTGTGAACAGTTTTATGGCTATCAACAATATTTTAAAAAATAAAAATAAAAACTCGGTAAATATTCAGATCCAATTTTATGGTAGAGAATGAATTTTTCACAAACAGTTCTTTCCTTCCCCACTATAATTCTCCAGAAACATTAATGTGCTTTCACGTTCTTCTGAAGAAAGTTTTATTTGCTAAAATAGGGATAACTGTCAAAAAAAAATAATTGCTCTGACTAATTTCTGGAGATTGTTTTTCTACTGGATAATGCATGGGTATATTTCAGGTAACACTTTAGCTAAATTTGAACTCCAGGCAGACACCCTTCTGTTATGCTTGCCCACAGTAGATATAGGAAATAACAAGCATAATAGTACTGACACTAAATATACATACTTATGTCAAATTTTTGTTCAGATGAAATATTACTCTAATATAATAAAATCTTCAGTATTGTAAATCACTGAATTTTACACAGCAGATCTGTTAAGCTTTCTCATTCCAACTTTGGAACTAGTGGATAGAATAGTATTGCAATGTAGTAGGGAATGTAGAAAAGATGATTTAAGATAAGGGACAAATTTTGTGTCGCTGCATCAGGTGTATTTTGGTGTCTTTTAATAGAGAGGCCCATAGGAGTGTTGTGCTTATTTTACTGAGGCTGAGGCTGTTAAGAAGTTACTGTAACAGGAATCAACCATGCAAACCAAACTGAATGCATCTGCTCATTAGCATGTCCTGCTGCATTTTATGTATAATTCAGAATCAAAGTAAACTTTGAAGCAAGTAATGACTGAGAAATCTTAATTTTCTATTTCAGATTCAGAGATACGAAATAGAAGTTCTGTTTCTATTTCCAAAATTACTATGCCTGGTACTTGAATTATAATGTCATATGTTGGTTATAGTGGCTTAGAGTCTCTGGAAAAAAAACAGCATGAGTGATTTTACAATTCCTTTGATTTATTATGTTTCTTCAGTCATTTTAAGATGTTTTAAGCCTTGGGGTGTTTGAGATCACTGTATTTTCAGGTATTATTGTCAGATCTGACAGCATTCCTGTTCTCTTTCAGGAGACGCTGATAGATTGGTGTGATGAAAAGGAGCTTAATTTGATTTTAACAACTGGAGGAACAGGGTTTGCACCACGAGATGTCACTCCAGAGGTGAGAGAGTCCTGGAATAAGAAAAATCTGCCTTTGATGTAGAAATGTATGGGAAGGGGCAGTGTTGGGTTGGGCATTTCATTTTGGAGGGGTAGGGAAGGGTTCCTGTGACCTTGCTTTGCAGTATCTTTGGGTGACACAGCTTAGGAGTAGTGAAAGCAGTAGGGGATACAGTGAATTGCTGTGAGCTTGGATCTGAACCGAAAGGAATTTCAGGCCAAAATTTGATGTAGAATAATGTATTTCCAGTCCCCTCACAGAACAAAATTCTGTCAATTTTGTGGGGCAGCTTATGTTAGAATTGTAATACAGCAGTGCTAAAGAGAGCATCCATGTAGCTCTTGAGTAGAGCACAAGCAAAAGGGGAGCAAAAGAGATCCCTTAATTCTTGCTCGCAGGCAACAGTGAGAGCTGCTACATCATAGGTTAGAGAGTGGGAGGTAGCTGGTGGGAGGAAAATATTCTCTGTAAAGCTGCCATTTCTTCCTTTGACACCACGTTGTCAAAAATGTTAACTAGGCACAGAGGTGGAGGTAACCTGCATCAATAAAGGTTGAAAGGGAAATTCAATTATATGTCACTTATAGGGCACAGTAAGGTAAGAAAAAAGAAAATAAACTTATCTGAACAAGCTCGCGGCCCTGAGTTATAATATGAAATGACTTTGTTATTGAAGTATTTTGGTATTTATAGTCCCAAATGAGATTAATTTGAACTTTAAAAATAACCTGCTTTTGTCTGTTTATGTTCACTGCAAAGCAGAATTCAGATTGAGCGCGTTAAGTGTATATTTCTGTAATCTAACTAGTTTTCTTTTAAGTGTTCTTACGGATTTTTGAATGCTTAGACTTTGTGTTATTTCAGTTCATTATAACGTGTATATTTTTTCTTTTACCTTCTGATGTGTTCTGTCAAGAACTGCAGGTTAATGTTTTCATTATGAAATGTTAGAATATTTTTTTAGCTTGTTTTACAACATTTTAATAACTAAACAAAAAGGCAAGAAAGACACTGTTATAAACTATTTCAGGTGATTTTTAAATTGCATACTAGCACCCTTAAGGAAATAAAATTTATGGTTAGCTTATCAGAGAATGGGACAGTATAAAAAACCCATAATGTACAAGCTAGTGAAACCATATGTACAGTTCAGTCACTTCGCTAAAGCAACACAAAGGAACAACTTTGTTGGTTTAATTGGTCTCTTATTTTCCAACTACCTTAATGTCTTAGAAAGTTTTGTTCCAGCACTGTGGGAAAGGCAGACTGGATACCCATTTGCAAAGCGGAGCAGAGACAGGCGTGTCAGAGAATGCATTGCAGCCAGTGCCCCAAATTAGCTACAGGTTCTCAAGCAGCACTGGCATTTGGACCAAGAAATTAGTAGTGAGACCTTTACAAGCAAATACTTAATATTTTCTCTATATTGCCTTGTCACGGATGCTTAAACTGAACCCATGCTAGGTTTCGATGATTTGTCTGGTTATTTTGGTTTTATTGTGACCCATTTGAAAATCAGTGAGCTGAAATGGTTTTAGACTGCGTAATAATAGTACTTAGATATAGAAAGTTATTAATAACTTGTACCAAATAAAAATATATTGTTATTAAACATCAATATGTAAGACTTCTTTTTCTAGTTAGAACAGAATTAAATGCTTTCCCTTTGAAGTTTTTCCTCTGTTGTAAAAGATTTTATAATTTATGTATTAGTTTTTCAGAAAATCTATTCTGTGCTCAGTGACTAAGCTTAAATCATGATGAAGAGGTTGAATCACAGTTTTTAATAAAAAGTGTCAGTGAGCTTTAACTGCTAAGGTTTATTCATTACCTTTGTAATAGCTTTTTAAAGCACTAATTCAAAAAAAATCTAAAGGGAAGAAAATCAGTCTGTCAGCACATGTTACAAGTTAAATATTTGAATAAACATAAGTTTTGCTCTCATACTGTATTTCTTGAAAGTAAATGAGAAAGAAAATGCAGAATAGAGAAATTCATTGTGTCAACATGAAATACTATGTCAGCAAACTTTCAAGAAAACTTGGATTGTTGTAGGAAGTGGCTTTAGCGTGTTGTGTGGAGGGTGCTTTTCCATCATTAGTCATTACTGAACTGGTATCGAAATGATGGGATCATGGCATTGTGCTATTGAGATGTCATCTTTAAGATATGATTTTAAAAAGAGTAATAATTGAGTATAGTACTGGAAGACATTTGGGCTTTTTTCCTGAGGAGAATGCCAATTTCTCCAGTCACATTTCAACTTAAATGATTCAATCCTGCTTCTCCTTTATCTTCCACCACTTCAAATATCGTATTATTACAGCTATTTCAATGATGTATATGAACATTTTTCCCTTGTAGTGAAATATATGATTTGAGATACATGCTCAAGTATAAATTTCCTTCCCTAGCTTTAGAGTCCATGCCTACTCATTGGACAGGAAGAAGTGTTAATATTAGGTATTTTGATTCACATTTTGAAGGGGAGGTTTTAGCTTTTTCAATTTAATTAAGCAGTGTAAATGTCTGTGTATGTGAACAGAAGTGATGGAATACCTGTGGATAGATGTCTGAAAGAAACTGTGTTGTGGATGTTTTAGTGTATGTTGCAAATAATCATTTTCAGCAGTTCATGATAGTCCTCATCTTGAGTAAAGTAAAATGCAGGTGTGACCAACATAAAAGGCATTTTTTCCATGTCTTTATTTTGCATATAATTGGTGAGGATAGTGTTAAACTCATAATGAGGAGAGGCTCTTTAGATCCTGTTGAAATGCAAAGTGTTTGGTGTTAGGCAGTGATCAGGACCCACTTATCTGCAGAACTTTGCTTTGTGTCTAAGTGCAAACATTTTTCCCGTTCCCTCACTTCTCTTTTCCTGGGCCATTGTTATTTAGTAGGCAATTGCAGATTTACAAAATCTTGATGATGATTTTTTTTTAAAAAAAAAAAATTATTTAAACAGTGTGGTGACTTTTGAATAGAACATTGGGTATCCTTCTGATACAGAAATATCTTTTCCTCTCTGTCATTCAATACAAGGAAAAAGAGGGAAAAAATCTTGAGACGGGCACTCATCTCTCTTCTGTCTTGTCTGATTTTACATTCATTCTTTTGAAAATTGTACATCCAAAAAATTCATTGGCCTTCCTCTTCTCAGCACCTTCTGACTCTTTCTTATTCTTCATCTACCGTAACTCAAGAGCTTTGCTAGCCTCCATTAAAAAAATATTTTCTTCTGTTCTTAGGAAAAATTATAGTTTATTGGGTCTGGACTCATGCTATAATTCCTTGAGCTCTAAGTGTAGCTGTGTATATTCACTGTCGTTTCTGTCGCGCTGCAGGTGATAGCCCTGAAACCAGACTTTAGAGTAAGAATGGAAGAGCTCTGTTCCATCGTGCAAAACCAGTCTTATATCTTGCAGTTTTCCTTTCCTTCGCTCTGGAAAAATGAGGAATGCCTTTTTCAGTTCTCGCCGGTTACTTTCTTCAATATTTGTAGACTATTCTGAAGTATTAGGATGTGTATGTGTTTAATTTGACAACATATGTGCACTCTGTTTACTCTTTCATTAAAAAATAAAGTTTCCTAAGTCCATGAAAAAAAAATCTCTCAACTCCCTCCGATTTGTCAGCATTTCTGTGAAAAATGCGCAAAATTATCAAAATATTCTAGCCACACGCAAGCCATGTGTAAAGAGAAGAAAGGTTTGTATATTCAACTCAAATTACACTAGCATTTTCTTTATCATTATCAATTGCATATATTCTATAACTGACTCTTTTCTGAGGTAATTTTCATTACCGTTTCTCCTTAGAATTTAGTGTCTGTGTTTAGATTTGAAGACATACACAAAAATATATGGTTTCTGAATTCCAAAATTCTAAATTCCGTTTTATTTTACTGCCTGTTGTAATGGCACCCTTGGATCCCAAGTAGTCCTTAGATGGCCTCACAGTGGGTGGATGTTACGTGCTCTTTCCGCCTGCTTGCTTCCCGTTCAATGTGAGAGATGTTCGTGCAAGCATCCTCTGCAGGTACATCATGTTATAACCACACTCTGACACCAACCCAGGCATTCTTCTCCAGGGATCCAAAGCCTATTGAGCCATTTCAAATAATGACTTTCATTTAATAGTCTGTAGTTTAAACTGGAAAGAATATGCAGTTTCTTTTATCCGCCCTGATTGAAACAACAGGGTTTCAGACCAGCAGGGTTTCTAATGGTGTTTCTTCTGGATATGGGAGTACTCTCATCCTTTTCTAAAAGTATGCACTCCTTAACGCCTTGTCTAATACATCCTAGCATTGTCACTGGGTCACAACAAACTCATTTTGTTTCCACAAGCTATTGGTCATTTTAAGATGGCTACATATCAAGGAGGATTGAAGTCTTTCAGGAGGCTCAGGTTAGATATTAGGAAAAATTTCTGCATGGAAAGAGATTCAAGCCTTGAAACAGGCTGCCCAAGGAAGTGATGGAGTAAAATTCCTGACAGTGGTCAAGAAAGGTGTAGCTGGGGCACTTAGGGATTTGGTTTAGCAGGCATGGTTGAAGGGCTCAGTGGTCTTGAAGGTCTTTTCCAACCAGAATGATTCTGTGATTCTAAATGGGACTTTTCATTTTGATTTCTTTGTAAAGTTAGTACATGATGAAGAATGTTTTGTTTGTATGATGTTTGATCCTATAGCTGTTCCCTAGACCCTTTAAAAATTCTTGTTTTCCAACTTTGGGGAGAATTATATTTCCAAGGAGAATTATATTTCCAAGGCAGCTTTCTCCTAAAGGGTCTAAGTTATGAAACCTACCAAGTATCTGTAGGCAGTAAATATGCTTAAATAGACGAGGTTACTCTGTGATGGACTATTTCTAAATTCTGTGTTACTCTGTTAAACCTTTATCAGCAACTCTATAATGTATTGTTCCCTTTTTCTTAGTTCCTCTGACACTTTTTGGTACATTTAATTATTTTTTAAATCCAATCTACCTTATTTT